ATTTGGGTCCGCTAAAATAAGTACGTTAACAGTGTAAGTTTGGGATACATAGATTGTTACTGAGTTATTCCAAAAAGAGGAAGGCAATTCACAGAGACTGTTTGTATGGCCATAAACAATCCTGTACAATTATTGAAAGATTGCCATATTAAAACCCAATCCTCTAATTACGACTTTATACTATTAGTTACACGGATTTTTGGCAGGGTATACGGTATGGTATGACCCTAAAGGGTTTCGTATTTCCTTAAGCCGATAGGCCGAAGGAAATACGAAATCCTGTAGGGTCATACCCTCCCGTATACCCTGCAAAAAATCCGTGTAACGAATTTATTACCCCTTTGAGTCTTTTATATTGGTTTTGTACAGTTCCCCGTCAACTTTTCTGTTGTCAAGATAAAAATGGCATAGTAGATCTACCTCATTTAGTTTCGTTTTATCAAATTACTCGAACTGTTCTTCCTGATTCTTTTCTTTTAAATACGTCCTCAGCATGTTTGCCGCTCGTCTGTTCGACTTTTGTGTTTTTTTGTGGCACATAGTTAGCCCTTTTGGCGAGTATTTCCTCATCAGTATGCGAAGCGAAACGTTTTGTCATTTTGTAAACATCGCCGGAAGCAGACGACGAATGCGAGTTGTCTCCCATTGCCCGGCCGCAAGATACAAAGACACGTGACCCGTAATACCCCTTGTAAAAGCACGTGATTCCATCGTATTACTGCTGAGAATCACGTGACATGACCGTATACCCCCTGAGATTTTCGTATACCCCTTGAGATTTACGAATGCGGTTTGGTACACTGTAGTTTTTAACCAATCAGATTCCTAGATTTTTCTCAAAGGGGTAATAAAGCTCATTATACCTGTGTTTTACCTGTACATGTACCCTATCTATCGTATGTACAGTGTACTCAATACAGTCATCTATTCTCGTTTACAGGTACGTTGTAAACTATTGTATTGACACACACTTCTGTGCTTTAGGATGTTTAAATACCAATCACAACTGGTATTTTAACACAAATTTAAATATTCCATGAAACTCACATTGTTCGGCATTATGGGCGGAGTGGTCGAGTGGTTAACAATCCGGCATTACACGCAGCCGGCCGGGATTCGATCCTCGAAGTCGACATACGCATGGATATTCAGAGAAAGTGTTTTTCTCCTGCCCACACAACTCCAACAACCCAGGTGGAGTATAAATTAGTCTGGGTGGATGTTGCGGTATCTGTGATGTAGCATTTAAGTGAGACGGCACTATAAATGATGCCGTTGGAAGCACGGTCCCACTACAAACAGAACACAGTACATCTCCAGCACACGCGCAGGCATAAACACATAGGGAGGTTTACCATAACTAAAACTTAACTATTATATATATATATATATAGTAACATCTATTAACTTAAACTTCATTACCGAATTCAAAAACGATAATATTATGTACGAATCAAATGAAAACTTAGGGAGTTGAAAATCAAGCCTGCTTAAGTTTTAATACTGACGAGTGTGTCAATAGTGTCCTAACATATCGGGTATCGTGTCTAGTATTGACATGTAGTTGTATCACAAATGAAAATGGTATTGAATTAAAAAATTTCACACTATGTTTTCTGTATAAACTATCGCAAACTTTACCCCCTCTGCAGGGAAAATGGGTGACCAGGGTAATGAATTTGACATTTTTTATAAAGCACAATTAATTGGTCTAAAGAAGAAGAATGTTGATATTTTAGCCAAGTTTAGCTTAGGCCCTAGGGGTGAGACTTTGACTATATTTTCATACTGTCAAACTGCAATAATATGATTATAATTATAACTAAAATTGTATGATTTTATAAAATATAGTACAGTTTACTTCCTTCCCAGGAGGGACAGGAGACCCAGTGAAGATGAAATTTACAATTTGTATAAAGGACCTCACATATGGGTCTGAATTGGACCCCTTTTGACCCTTTCACTCAGGCCCATTGGGGATTGCATCAATATTAACAGTACTTGAGTTTGACTAAGGCCATGTAAACCTTCCTGCAGACTTTATTGAAATCAGTTCTGTGGTTTTGGAGAAATTAAAAATGGGAATTTTGCTTATTGACGAACGACGCATTCCAACGGACAAAAGCCAATCAGGTGACCTAAAAATGCAATAACAGAAAGAAAAAAACGTTCTCTAATAATTGACCAATTTACATCATGTAGCTGTTGTTCTGGCATAGTTGTTTTTTACTTGACACTTATTCAATCTATACATTTAAATTTGACATCACTAAAGCACTTGGAATTGTGGGTAAGATATAGGAGTGGCAAAAATAAATAGGAATTGATAGAAATGTATGGGAAGTGGACATCCTACAAATATAAAGACACAGATAAACGTCATGTGACATTGATCTCGCAGTCAGACGAGACTTTGTCACGTAAGTAAACGTAAGTATATAAACAGCCCACATATGCATATTCCCGACGAATCCGTGTTAAGCCATAATAACAAACCACGGGAAAAGAAAAAAAAGAATTAAAGCATTATATACAAATATACATTTGTTTATTTAGTATGTATATGTGATACAAACAACCTTTGCATATATAAAGTAATGTAAATATTTATGAAATAATACAGTTTTTTAAGTACATTGAAATATATGAACTGTTTATAGTTTTCAGATATCTCACACATTCAACAAAAAGGAAAAGGGGGACATAAAAACAATAACATCGAAACATTTAGAGGCTTGACAGACTGTAAATGTGGTTATCTTGTCAGTTATTCAAGATGAAGTCTACTTTAACTAAAAAGTCCATTTTATTAAGATCTAGGTAAGAAACACACTAAGGATATTAACATTACTAGTGTACATCCCTTAGATAAAAGTGCCGACCAAACCTGTTGTTATATACATATAACATCAAGACATATTTACATGTGAATGTCTTCCACTCGGAACATATTGGGTATTTCACGTTTATCGTGAGAGTAATCACATCCTCGATATCCAGGGGTTACACTCACTTTCGCTTTCTGAACCACTGGAATATGTCAAAGCAAAATTGAAGGTACGAAGACTGCTGTTTGATTGGTCTCAGGTAAAAAAAAAAAAAAAAAAACCTGACCAATCGCTAGGTACGTATTAATGAACAGCTGTATTTATTCAGATTGACAATTTGGTAAAACAGTTTATTAAAAATAAATCTAAATTGTACCAACACAAGTTGTATAAAGTCATAAAGTTCGATTGAATAATATTTTCTTTCTTTAAATGTATATTTAAATATTAAAATGCACTATTGTATGGTACACAATGTATATACGGTACGAATGGTATTACATTTTCACAGAGTAGATATTTTACTGTTTCCGGGTTATAGTACTACAAGCTTGACTTGACATGGAAACATGTATCAGTACTAATGAAATGATTTAAAATCCTGAAACCAAAAGAAAATGCTCGCAATCCTCTCACTTAAAACCAACGAATGATTAAAAGATGACCTCCTTACAATGTAAATCGATATAAACATGTCTAAATTGGAAAATAATTCAAGGTTAATATTCACTGTTTTATGTTTAACGCACGTGTATATAACTTTATAAAATTAAAGTGAAATGTTAACATGAGAACTCAGAATTATGTTTTCTACATTTTAAACTTAAAATCAGCGAAAACTAATATACATGTGTTAACAGAAACAGTTCAGATACAGAATGGGTATGATCTAGTTCAGATACAGAATGGGTATGATCTAGTTCAGATACAGAATGTGTATAATCTAGTTCAGATACAGAATGGGTATAAACAAGTTCAGATACAGAAAGGGTATAATCTAGTTCAGATACAGAATGGGAATAATCTAGTTCAGATACAGAATGGGTATGATCTAGTTCAGATACAGAATGGGTATGATCTAGTTCAGATACAGAATGGGTATAATCTAGTTCAGGTACAGAATGGGTATAATCTAGTTCAGATACAGAATGGGTATGATCTAGTTCAGATACAGAATGGGTATGATCTAGTTCAGATACAGAATGGGTATGATCTAGTTCAGATACAGAATGGGTATGATCTAGTTCAGATACAGAATGGGTATGATCTAGTTCAGATACAGAATGTGTATAATCTAGTTCAGATACAGAATGGGTATAATATAGTTCAGATACAGAATGGGTATAATCTAGTTCAGGTACAGAATGGGTATAATCTAGTTCAGATACAGAATGGGGATAATCTAGTTCAGATACAGAATGGGTATAATATAGTTCAGATACAGAATGGGTATAATCTAGTTCGGATACAGAATGGGTATAATCTAGTTCAGATACAGAATGGGTATGATCTTTTGTCCAATCGTTGATGTTTTGTAATCTATCACAGGAAATTGGAATCTACTTCAGTCATGTATACAAACACCGCTATCTTCAGTAATCCATCTGCTGATGTACCATGTATCAGAATTCTTATTTTGAATATCTACATATTTGAGCTGGATGTAAAAATTATTTAAGATTTTGTTGATTTTGTTTTGCCAATCTGTATTCGAGGACATTTCCGTTGAGAGGTACAGTTGCCTATAGCTGTCATCATAACAGTACAGGAAGGTCATCAGTTTCCATTTTGTCATGTTCTGATGTAATGCATGTCCCGTTATACTGTATACCGGTAAAAGTTTAGACCAGTCACATAGTCGCCCTTTGCTGATTAATCAATGTTTACTTAGTTTTAGTTTCGCTCTTCACCTGTTGTTACTATACCGTGTATGTTTTATATTAATATTCACTGTCATAATAACAGCGAAAATGTCAGGAGTTAAACTGCAGCGAATATTTCCTGGTATACAGTATACAAATCTCTCTCTCTCTCTCTCTCTCTCTCTCTCTCTCTCTCTCAAATACAATACTAACGCACCACTCGTAATGTGAAACGAACCGTTATACCTATAAAAGAGAGGCAACAGTGGCTGAAATAAATTCAAAATATGTTTATTCTTCGTCAGCTAACATTCTTGTTGATAACGAAGAATATCAAACTTGTTTATGTCTTTTTATGATAAAACTGTTGGATTTTTTTAGGTTGTTTTCGATAATTAATAGCTGTTAGCAGTGTTTTATATAAAATCACAAATCTACATATTGTGATATAACACTGAACACAGTTGTTTCCCCGAACGACAACGAACGACAACTCTCGTCAGAGACATACGAGTCCAAGCACTGTAGTAAAGATCATCAGTGACATGTTGTAAGCACAGACTACGGTCGACGAGACGGTTGTGTGAGTCAGAATTCCGGCCACCACGCTCCACTGACCGTCATTTGGGTTGGGGGTGATCCCCAGGACGTCACACATCATTTGGTAGATGTGAATGACAGAGAAACCTTTTGCCACTACATTTCGGCTTATGTCTGAAATAATAAAAGTGGAAAAGTTCTTATGGATCATAATGAAAATGACTCGGTGTAATTATCTTGTGAGGAACTCAAATCTACTGGTCCTTTTTTGGGTATTTCTTCGTCATCGTATAACAACTTTATATAGCTTATTTTCTGGTGATAGCAACAATGATGTTTTCTTTTGTTTTTTAACCAATGTACGTCAGTCTGAACAATAAGAAGACTTCTCTTAGATAAATGCAAATCTGCACATGATACATCAAGATTTAGTTTTCTTGTAGTGGCCATCTTGAAAATGGCAACATTTAGTTTTTTTGTTCTTTGAAAAAGTTTACAGTGACAAAGACAATTAACAAACTCAGAAAAGTCTTCAACAGACGGCAGTTTTGACATTGATACAAAATAAACATGGATTATTTTAGATATACCTGGTCCAGTGGCGAGGAATATGCCCCTCATATCAGTCTCGCTGTTGTCAAATCCGTGTGTCCCCTGCATTGGCCCAGAGCCGTAATAACTATAAAAGCGAGGCAGCAATGGCTGAAAAAAAATATTTTAAAACAATCATTTTTGTCCGGTAAATTCTTGTTGATAACAAAAAGAAAGATTATGAAATCTTGTTTATCGCTTTTATTGTAAAAAAAACGTATCATTTTGTTTCAAGGATGTCCGTTTCAGGGAATTTCTGGATAATCAAAGTATACATATATAACTTTTTGTTTTTAAGTCTTTCTTTAGCCGTTGAATACTCATATAAAAAAAATCGGACTGAGTATTTGCTTTGTAACTTTCTTTTAACTTCCGGTTTATAACTCTCCAGACTTACAGACAGGATACCCCTTGGAACCAGAACATAGTTTACCACAGAAATTGTATACATCCCCCGTTTTGCGTAACACAGAACACTACATGAATTGATTCCGGGGTAAAGGTATGGTATGGGTCACAACAGAAAAACAATTGCATGTGCGCATCTTCACATATGTTAAGATACAAAAAAAAAATCAAATATTTCTATTGATGTTTTACGAAATGCGTAGCCAGATATCATATGCTGCTAAGGACAGACCGGGAGGCAAAGTGAGTAAAGGGACATAACTCTCATTATCTTTATCGAAACAAAAACTGTCGCAAAACAACTAAAGGAATATAATGTGTGTTTCAACATCAAATCAGCCGCACAGACATAGCTACCTACAAAACGTACTTGCTGCATTATCTGAAATATGTCGAGACAGATAGTAGACATAAATACTAACGATGATCGGGCTACCGTCGATACCAGTATTATGAAAAGTTTCCTTACTGTGGAGTCTGTTATATCGCCCGAATACTTACTGTGGTGATGTTCCAGCCTCTCTCAGCCACCAGTAAGATAGGGGACGTTCTATAGTGATCTATCTGTTATATCGCCCGACTACTTACTGTGGTGATAAACCAGCCTCTCTCAGCCACCAGTAAGATAGAGGACGTTCTATAGTGATCTATCTGTTATATCGCCCGACTACTTACTGTGGTGATGTACCAGCCTCTCTCAGCCACCAGTAAGATAGGGGACGTTCTATAGTGATCTATCTGTTATATCGCCCGACTACTTACTGTGGTGATGTACCAGCCTTTCTCAGCCACCAGTAAGATAGGGGACGTTCTATAGTGATCTATCTGTTATATCGCCCGACTACTTACTGTGGTGATGTACCAGCCTTTCTCAGCCACCAGTAAGATAGGGGACGTTCTATAGTGATCTATCTGTTATATCGCCCGACTACTTACTGTGGTGATGTACCAGCCTTTCTCAGCCACCAGTAAGATAGGGGACGTTCTATAGTGATCTATCTGTTATATCGCCCGACTACTTACTGTGGTGATGTACCAGCCTTTCTCAGCCACCAGTAAGATAGGGGACGTTCTATAGTGATCTATCTGTTATATCGCCCGACTACTTACTGTGGTGATGTACCAGCCTTTCTCAGCCACCAGTAAGATAGGGGACGTTCTATAGTGATCTATCTGTTATATCGCCCGACTACTTACTGTGGTGATGTACCAGCCTTTCTCAGCCACCAGTAAGATAGGGGACGTTCTATAGTGATCTATCTGTTATATCGCCCGACTACTTACTGTGGTGATGTACCAGCCTTTCTCAGCCACCAGTAAGATAGGGGACGTTCTATAGTGATCTATCTGTTATATCGCCCGACTACTTACTGTGGTGATGTACCAGCCTTTCTCAGCCACCAGTAAGATAGGGGACGTTCTATAGTGATCTATCTGTTATATCGCCCGACTACTTACTGTGGTGATGTACCAGCCTTTCTCAGCCACCAGTAAGATAGGGGACGTTCTATAGTGATCTATCTGTTATATCGCCCGACTACTTACTGTGGTGATGTACCAGCCTTTCTCAGCCACCAGTAAGATAGGGGACGTTCTATAGTGATCTATCTGTTATATCGCCCGACTACTTACTGTGGTGATGTACCAGCCTTTCTCAGCCACCAGTAAGATAGGGGACGTTCTATAGTGATCTATCTGTTATATCGCCCGACTACTTACTGTGGTGATGTACCAGCCTTTCTCAGCCACCAGTAAGATAGGGGACGTTCTATAGTGATCTATCTGTTATATCGCCCGACTACTTACTGTGGTGATGTACCAGCCTTTCTCAGCCACCAGTAAGATAGGGGACGTTCTATAGTGATCTATCTGTTATATCGCCCGACTACTTACTGTGGTGATGTACCAGCCTTTCTCAGCCACCAGTAAGATAGGGGACGTTCTATAGTGATCTATCTGTTATATCGCCCGACTACTTACTGTGGTGATGTACCAGCCTTTCTCAGCCACCAGTAAGATAGGGGACGTTCTATAGTGATCTATCTGTTATATCGCCCGACTACTTAATGTGGTGATGTACCAGCCTTTCTCAGCCACCAGTAAGATAGGGGATGTTCTGTAGTGATCTATCTGTTATATCGGCCGACTACTTACTGTGGTGATGTACCAGCCTTTCTCAGCCACCAGTAAGATAGGGGACGTTCTATAGTGATTACGGTAATACCACCGGTCAGGAATGTCCTCCTTCTTCAGAACAGTCAAGTGTGAGTTGTCCATAGAAACCAGGTCACTATAAACCTATTAAACAAGGTTAATGTTAAAATATTTAAAGAATTTGTTCTCTCTTTTTGTTAATCAAGACATGAAACGAGTAAAATAACGCTTTCTGCAAAAATCGATTATTCTGAAAAATGATGCACATTTTGCATCAATCAGTTTAAAGAAAGTGCATTCCGCATACATCAATGTTATCATTCCGCATACATCAATGTTATCATTCCGCATACATCAATGTTATCATTCCGCATACATCAATGTTATCATTCCGCATACATCAATGTTATCATTCCGCATACATCAATGTTATCATTCCGCATACATCAATGTTATCATTCCGCATACATCAATGTTATCATTCCGCATACATCAATGTTATCATTCCGCATACATCAATGTTATCATTCCGCATACATCAATGTTATCATTCCGCATACATCAATGTTTTCGAGGAAGGGTATGCATTCCGCATACATCAATGTTTTCGAGGAAGGGTATCCATTCCGCATACATCAATGTTATCGAGGAAGGGTATCCATTCCGCATACATCAATGTTATCATTCCGCATACATCAATGTTTTCGAGGAAGGGTATGCATTCCTCATACATCAATGTTATCGAGGAAGGGTATCCATTCCGCATGCATCAATGTTATCATTCCGCATACATCAATGTTATCATTACGCATACATCAATGTTATCATTCCGCATACATAAATGTTTTCGAGGAAGGGTATGCATTCCGCATACATCAGTGTTTTCGAGGAAGGGTATCCATTCCGCATACATCAATGTTATCATTCCGCAGACATCAATGTTATCATTCCGCATACATCAATGTTATCATTCCGAATCCATCAATGTTATCATTCCGCATACATCAATGTTATCATTCCGCCTACATCAATGTTATCATTCCGCATACATCAATGTTATCATTCCTCATACATCAATGTTTTCGAGGAAGGGTATGCATTCCGCGTACATCAATGTTTTCGAGGAAGGGTATCCATTCCGCATACATCAATGTTTGGGAGGAAGGGTATCCATTCCGAATACATCAATGTTATCGAGGAAGGGTATCCATTCCGCATACATCAATGTTATCATTCCGCAGACATCAATGTTATCATTCCGCATACATCAATGTTATCACTCCGCATACATCAATGTTTTCGAGGAAGGGTAAGCATTCCGCATACATCAATGTTTTCGAGGAAGGGTAAGCATTCCGCATACATCAATGTTTTCGAGGAAGGGTATGCATTCCGCATACATCAGTGTTTTCGAGGAAGGGTATCCATTCCGCATACATCAATGTTTGGGAGGAAGGGTATCCATTCCGAATACATCAATGTTATCGAGGAAGGGTATCCATTCCGCATACATCAATGTTATCATTCCACATACATCAATGTTATCATTCCGCATACATCAATGTTATCATTCCGAATCCATCAATGTTATCATTCCGCATACATCAATGTTATCATTCCTCATACATCAATGTTTTCGAGGAAGGGTATGCATTCCTCATACATCAATGTTATCGAGGAAGGGTATCCATTCCGCATACATCAATGTTTGGGAGGAAGGGTATCCATTCCGAATACATCAATGTTATCGAGGAAGGGTATCCATTCCGCATACATCAATGTTTTCGAGGAAGGGTATCCATTCTGCTTTAATCAGTTTTTTTCGAAAAAAGAAAGTGTATTCTGCATAAATGTTTTTTCCGTATAAATCTTGCATCAGCTTTTTCAAGACACGGTGTGCAGTCTGCCCTTATTAGCCTTTTCGGAAAAGAAAGTGCATTCTACAAACATCAGTTTTTCGACAAAAGGGTATGCATTCTGCATAAAACAGGAAAAGGAAAATGCAATCTCAATTTTCGGAAAAGGTTGTGTATTCTGTATGAAACAGTTTTTTTGAAAAGGAAACTGCAATCTCAATACATTAGATTAATTTTTTTGGGAAAGGGTGCGATTCTGTATGAAACAGCACTTTCGAAAACAAATATGCATTCTGCAAACATTAGCTTTTTTGAGTAAGGGTATTCATGCATTCTGCTGAAATCAGTTTTCCGAAAAGAAAGTATCTTTCTCCATCAATCATATCCTAATCAGGTGCATGACAAGTGGTAT